AAGCACTTCAGCCTTTTCTGCATCCTCTGTCACAAGGTTGCCTCTCCCATTCAGTAAGAGGACCCACACTTTCTCTGATCCTCCTCTTGCTACCGACATACTTGTAGAAACCCATCGTGTTACCCTTCACATCCCTTGCTAGCTGCAATTCCAATTGCTCTTTGGCCTTCATCCCTGCATGCCCAAGCAATGCTCTTATACTCCTTCCTAGTTATTTGCCCAAGTTTCCACTTTTTATAAGCTTTCTTTTTGTGATTTAGTTTAATGATAAGTTCCCTGCTAATCCAAGCTCATCTTCTACTATACTTGCTGGTCTTCCTGTGCATCAGCATGGTTTGTTCCTGCACGCTCAGTAAGACTTCTTTAAAGTAAAGCCAGCTCTCCTGGACCCCTCTCCTCAGACTGGCTTCCCAGGGGATCCTGCCCATGAGTCTGTTGCTGGTAAATTTTGTAGGGCTTGGTTCCCCACTTGACCAGTGCCCTGCCCCACAGTGACATCAGGGTAGGACACCAAGTTAGCACTACCTGCATGTTCTGGTTGCTGTTCCTGCTCGCCCATCATGACTTGATGTTCTTGTTCTTGGGAGACAGTTCCCAGCAGGTGGCCTGTGGGATCCTATGCCTTGGCTCCTTCATGGGGCTCCAACCTTCCCTTTACCCAACCCTTACCATATCCACAGCTGAGATGGACATCAGTCACTTATAGGTGATACCTTCTCATCTGTGAAGTCCTGCCTCTGAGAGTCAGTGACCTCCTGGCCATCTGTTCCTTGTAGGCTGTCCTTTGTCTGTGGACTGTGGCCTCCACAATTAAACTCAACTCAATCTTGAGGTAACAGGAAACTTATGAATAATGTCAACAGAAAACGATCAGCATTTGCTGGTGGGCCCCTGGGTCTTGTCTCCCAGGTCCACAGCCCCCTGGCTGGGGCCTTTTGCCTCCCCCTTTTCAAGAGCTGCCTTGTAGGCCCAGCAGCTCCCCACTGCACCCCTTGCAGCCATCTTGTGGGGCCCTCCGATGGGTCCCGCCTCTTACCACCTCGGCCTCATCAGACCTGAGACTGGGTCTGTCCAGGTTGCTCCTGCCGGTGCTTCTGTCACTCACCTTGGCAGCCCTACTCCACTCTTCACCTTGTGCAGGCCCCAGGCCTGTCATAGCCCCACAGCCCCACACAGCCAAGTGGTTCACTACGTGGTGTGGTCCCTGGCCAGTGTGGCAGTTCCATGGCACTCGGCCCACTCCTCTCAGCCCCAGTGCTGCCCTCCTCTCCCTTTCTGCACCCTGCAGTGCTCTCTGGGCCTCCTTCCAGGACTTCTCCAGGGTGTGCCACTGCCTCCCTTTCATCATGCTCAGGGATGTTGCCAGATCCTCCTCCCGGAGTGCCTCTCGGGCATGCTGCTGCCTCTCCTGCACTATACTCCACGGCGTTTCCCAGAACTCCTCCCAGAAAGTCTCCTGGGTATGCTGCTGCCTTCCTGTGCCATGCTCTGCAGCGTTTCCTGGTCCTCCCTCCTCCCAGAGTGACTCCTGGGCATGTGGCTGCCTCAGCATGCCATTCCCCTCCTTCAGCAGCATCCCACGGCATTCCCTTGCTGCCTTGCTCTTGCTTCCCCACGCTGCCTCCAGCTGTTCTCCCAGCCACCTTTTCAGCAGCCCACTTCTCTCTCTGGCCCTGCCCTCTCTCCTCACTGATTTGCAGGCTCAAGCTGCTCCAAAGATGGTGCACCTAAACCTGCCATCTCAGTGTCCACCCGCAGCTGCTGCTTATTATTTCTCCTGCAGTGAGTCAGGATGGGCTTTCTCTTCCCCTTTCACAAGTTCCCTAAGTGATTCAAAGTCTGCTTTTCTAAAGTCCAGGGTCTTTACTCTGCCGCTCTCCATCTTTCCTTTCCTCAAGATCCTGAACTCAATCATTTTGTGGTCACTGCTGCCCACACTGCCATTCAGTACTACATTCCCCACCAAGTCATCCCTGTTTGTGAGCAGCAAGTCAAGAAGAGCGTGGCCCCTAGTTGGCCTCTCTATCACTTGCACCAGGAAGTTGTCTCCAACTCTCTTCAAAAACTTATTGGATTGCCTGTGCACTGCTATATTGCCCTCCAAGCAGATGTCAGGGTGATTGACAGTGGCAGTCCATCCGAGCTAGAAGAGTCCCACATGCACTCCCCCCACCCACTCCTCCTTGTACGTTTGAGACCTAGAATATGCCCCAGGGTCATCCACAATAGCTGCTCTCAGATATGCCAGAGAACAAGATCACAGAAGGACACCACAGAGCATCATTATCAGCGCAGTTCTTTGTCTGGAACATGCATGTGGGACCTGGGTGTGCTTGGGGCCATCAGACTGAAGAAGATTGCTACTGTGCAGACCATCTGCACTATCTGACAAACTCTTTTGATCGTTAGCAGTTCATCTTCAGGGTAGACATATTTTGTGTTTCTATTCAACAATTTATGTAAGCATGTGCTCAACTTTAGGCTTTAATCTTTAATATGCTTTATTCCCATTGACTTCAGTTCAGCATGTGCCTATTGGTCAGCATGAGATAAAATGTTTTGCTGAATAAAGATTAATCTAAGTCTGTGCTTAAATCCTTTGCTGAACTGGAATCGAAATGGTCCTATGCTGGGCAGATGTGCTTAAAATTCTTAAAATCCCAGCACCCGCTCTGTTCGCTGAGCGGTTGTTTTGTCTTGAGCAGCACTGGTCTAGGTGCTTCTTGCAAGAAAAATTTAAAAGTGCTTTTCCTTGGCACTGTCAGGCCACTTTCCAGTGCCTGGAAGTAGCATTTTCAGGAGTTCTGTGTGGACTACCCTGTCTGCCATTTGGTCCTAGCCTGTATTTGCCAACACTAGCTTTGTTGTCTCCCCTCATACATCAGCACCCAATTAGATACAACAGTGTTGGGTCATGTGTACACAGGGGAATCAAAAGAATGAAAACTGGGATAAATGCATGTATTATGTTCATGTCCAAAATAAGCTATCATTTTTCTATGTGTTCTTAAAGCATGCCGTGGCATTGCAGACTATTTCCATTGCAAACAAGAACTTGGAATGGAGATAACCTGAAATTATCCCTTTTCCCTTCCCATCAGCTCCTTTACGCGTGCCTCTAGTATAAATTTGCCCCCTTGTTGCTGAAGGAGCAAGCAAGAGAATGTAGAAAACCAGCTGCTTGATATAGAATTTTTATTTCCCTTTCAAGTGTATTAACATCTCCTGCCTTCCGCCTCCCGCATTCTTCACCTCTCAAGTTTTGAAAGTAGGATGGCTACTTAAGTTTCTCTGCTTTCTTTTCATGCTGTCAAATAAAAGCCAAGCTGCCAAAAATATACTTCTTCAATGCTTGAGATTTCCTACACCTGCACAAGTGGAGAGACTTGTGCTGAGAAAGCAAATAAGGATCCACAGGGAATAACCCTATTGCTTCATACAAAAAAAAAGAAAAAAGAAAAACCCACAACCTGAAGCAGGTGCACGTGCTTTTCCACATGAACTATTCCTACAGGATGAAAGTTAACCTCATATTTGTCAACACTCAGGTTTATTATTTATCATTAACCTCCATGTTAATGACTTAATCACTTCTCCTCTCACTTGAATCAAGGAAGAGTGACTTTTTTTTTTAAAGCAGCATGGTGGGGTTTTTATTCAAATGCAAAATAAAAAGCAAATGCCAAAATAAATCCAAATTGTTAAATCTTATCTTACTGCTGAACATATGCTCCTTCTTGTTCTTCTGTCTGCTAAACCCAGATTTGTCACCAAACTCTTCCCTTTCTGTTTTTGTGTCTTGCTTAAAATCGTGCCACATTTTGTTGAAGGAGGACAAATGTTACATGTAGGACGTGCTGTCGATAAAAGACACATTATATTTTTCATGGTCTGGAAAAACACTGATGACATTTGAATCCTACAATCCAGAAAGGTTCTTGTGCAGCGCTCTGTGCGCTATCCTGTCAATCCCAATAACACTGATAAGAATGTAACAGGTCAAACCACATTAAGAATGGACATTCTGACATGTTCTTTTATGAAAAAGCTAATAAAATGCAATTACTGTCCAGCTTTGATTCAGAAGCCTTATAAGAGTTCATTTTAAAATTCACAGTTTTATTGCACTGCGCACTATCTGAGACTGAAGCATTTGGTTTATTGTTTTAATTCTCTGAAACTGAATTAAACTACCTGTTGTATATGTTCATACAAGTCATGCAGGTCAGTTGATACAAATAAAATCTATAACATAGAGCAAGAGGTGGATACTATTTAAACTATGTGGGAAGATATGATCATCTTCCTCACATTTATGTGTCTGGCCTCTGTCAGAAAGTTGATCCTTTATTAGTCATTTTTCAAGTGAGAGAGTATAGAGAGCTTGTATGGGTGAATGTACCACTTAAGTCAAAGTGGGATTTTTGTATGGTCACAGCCTTTATGCTGGCCTGGTCCATATGGATAAATTTCAGCCTGGTTGTAGAGGAACAATACAAGTCTTTGTGCTCTACTTCATTAGCCCAGGAGGCTGAACAAGGGATGATGATAATGCAAATTTTGGAAGGATATGCGCCATCTAGAAATGTGAATCTGAAACCAAATTCTAGCCTTGCTAGTATGAGGCATACTAATGAGAAGGAGCAAAATGGTGACAACTGGAAGAAGATTTCCTGAGCCATCCTGCTAATATCGCCCTGGCACTATTGGGCATGTTTGTTATAGCTGTCCCTGAAAAAAGGCAGCTTTGCGCTTGCAAATGCTTACTGTTGAACCCTGTTTGCATGCTGTTTGCATCTGCCTTCACAGTGCTGCACCACACAATGTCCCCATCCTGGTCCCTTTTTCATAATGGGGAGGAAGAGGCTCTCCATTGTTACTTACTCTTTTAGTGCACATACATGAAACAGGCCATCCAGCAGGGCTAAGAGGGTAAAAGGAACACACCCATTAATATACACAACATTTAATATTCCCTATTTGATTTTATTTGATTTCAGAATGAATACGTACTTAGCTTTTTCCTGGATGGGTCGAAAAGTGACACATTGGAAGAATCCTCATTTGTTAATCTGGGTATGTAAATTGTTAGTTTTGTTTTTTAACAGGAAATGTCCATGGTGACATTGAAGGCTGTAGTGCAAATGTGGGTCCAACCAAATCCAATGGTAAAGGTTTCTGTGCAGAAGTGTGTTGTCCTAAATGATCACCAGTAATGTGACACACTTTTTATTTCATAGCCTTTAAAGGTTTATTCAGATATTTTAGAAATATAACCTGCCACCCCATAGGGCATTTTACTTCTCCCCTCCACCTAAATATTTAGATGCATGGAAATTAAACTATGCCTTCTTTTAAAACAGAAAATTTCTCTTAAATAGCAATCTTGGGGGGAAGTGCTTGAGGCATTATAAAGTATAATGTATATGCCAAGATATGGGAAGAATAATGTCTGCTAGATATATCCTGTCAGTCAGAGAGTTTCATAGTGAGTAGGGCTTGTAAGTAGCAGAACATCTGGTTAATCTTGCTAAGTATTCATTATTAATGATAGCTGTGGTATTACAATATGCCATTCACTCAGCAAATGACTTTACACTGCTATCTTAACCAGTCTAGGTTTCCAAATTCCTCCCTTTTCTGTTCTGCATGCCCACCAAGAGGCAACATATATTTTGCTGTTCTCTAATGCTAATTCTGTAGCAGTTCATCTTCTGCAGGCTGTAGTTACACTTTGCACCAGAACAATTCCATCAGCTCGATGCTCCCGCTCCAAAATATTCAGCTCTGTGCATTTCATAACCCAGCCCAACAGTACCATCTCCATTCCATGTCCATTGTGTTTCACTCTGCTTTACGAACTCAAGCTGTGTTCCTTGCCTATGCTGGCACAAAGTAAAGATAATTGACTGAGCCATGTCCTGAATGATTCCCCTTATGCAAGGGGGTCTTAAGCTAGTGTAAAGCTGTCACTGCGGCTTCTAGTACATCCCCTGCCGGCAGCACAGGACTATAACCAAGATGTCACTGTACCCCTCTTAACAGTTTTAGAAACTGCTTAATAGTTGCTCCAATTTACACTAAGGACTGTCCCAAGGTGGTCCAGAATTCAAGCTAGAATTTATGAATTCATGGACTCTCTCTCTCTGTGGCTTCTCTTACTATACTATATGACTATCATGCAGTCATTAACAATCCCCCATTTTACACATGTGTTACCAAGGCATAGACATTTTAGATATTGTAATAGGGGCTAGGTGCCTAAATACCTTTTGAGGATCTGTGGTTAAGTATCCTTGTGCTTCAGTTTCCTATGTGTAAACGGTGACATGTTGAGGATAAGGGCCATAAAAAATTGCAAGGTATTCATCTGCTGTAGTTGTAAGTTCAGAGAAGACCATGACTTTCCCAAGGTCACATTCTGTGCCAGAGAACTGAACCCAAGTCTCCTAGCACCCAGGCTGGTGCCCTCATCAATTGACCATTAGAGCCCTGTCAGGTGTGGTCATACATTTTGGAGCCAATGCACAATAGTTAAAGAGGAAAATATTTTTATCTGGGTAAAAAAAAAAAAACTTATTTACTGAGTATTTGGTGAGCCAGTTAGTTTACTGTGTAGATATTTTTGTAGTGAAGTCAAGGAGACAAAGACTAGCTTGGGGATGGAGGGACTATGAAAGATGTATAAATTAAGATTCAAGGCCTGCTAGGCCTTACATGTTGTTGTAGAGAGAGACATTTTCCTTCAGGGGGAACTCTGCTTTTAAGATGCATAGCCATCTCTTGTTACCCTAAAAAGCAAGCAGAAAAAAATCCTAATTTTTTAAAGACTTGAGTAGTCAGACAATCAGTTAAGATCTGAGCCTAAGCAAGTGAATGTATGTCCTTTTTGTTTTAATTTATGGGGTCAAATCCTGAGATCCCTACTCAGCACTGAAGGGGAATCTCCTCCTGCTTGCCATTAGCTGCTGACAGACTTGAAAAAAAAAAGTGTATGCCCAGAAGAGGCATCAAGTTAGTTCAACACAGCTCCCCAGCATCTGCATAGATTGTGCGTGTCAACGAGGCTTTTTGGCACTTTTGTCTAAAGCTGTTTCAATCAGCTATTAAAGTGCCAAAAAGGCCTGCTGAAGCGTCTGATCTATCAGACGTTGGGTGAACCAGGTCAAACTAATGCAACACCTCTTCTGGGCATGCACTGTCTGTGGCACAGGGACACATCAAGCTGAAAGTAAAATGCTGTTTCTGCGGGGGGGGGTTCACATCTGTAAGCAGCCATTGTTTTTATTATTTTATCACAGTGGCATCCCAGGTAGGACCCCATGGTGCCTGGCACTGTATGAACACAAAATAACAATTAAGAAAGTATCTGAATGGCTTATGGAAACTCCCTCAATCTACTGCAAACACTGTGGAGCATGTGCCTGGGTAGGCCCACACTGTGCAGAGAAGGGAAAACACTTCCCTGGCACTGTTGAGGTTGCTGCTAGAGAGCACAGCTTGTGCTCCTACTTGAGTGCACTAAACCTAGAAATTAGGCAATTAAACCACTCTGGGGCAACCCTGAAAGACTTCACCATGTGTTTTCTGGATTTGCTGTGTGAGAGTGGCAGCTGGTAGATGGAATCCATGTTCCTCAGTGGCAAACCTCAAGACCACCAAGGAAAGTAGTATGGCTATATTCTAGCTGAACTGAGGCATGGCCAGGACATGGACAGACATCATTTTGCCATACTGCCAGGGAGAAAATAGGAGGAATTGCTGGGTTGAGCACAGGATGCTGGCATGTTTAGCCTAGGTTTCCCTCCAATATCTTTGGATGTTCCCAAGCCTTTCTGTATATTCAGAGGTGAGAATAAAGCCCATAATCTGGGTTCATGAGCTGGGGAAGCTCTGTAAGAAGAATCCTGTAGAGATTCTCTGTGTGGAATCAGAAAAAATATATGCCTTAAACTTTGACTATTTTAGTTATAAGATGACATAACCGCTTTGTGGAGAATTGCTGGCTCTGTATAGTAGAACAGATAAGAGAAAGTGTTTGTTCTTTGTAACTCCTCTGCAACTGCTTCGCTCACCGCGGCCTTGAAGATAGCAAAAAGTATGTACAACTCTGATTTGCAGGTGCAAGAAGGAGGTTTGTGAACTAACCTCGCCTCCCCCATTAGTTCCCATCCTGATTACAGCAAAGAAATAATGAAGTAATGTTATAGCCGCTTTTCATGCTAATTTCACTATATGATCACGTGAGTTGTAAGCAACTGTTAAAAAGTATATAAGCCTCCTGATTTTGCTCTTGGGGGGGGACCCCTTCCAAGTGCTTGGGAGATCCATGTCACTTTGGAGTCCCCCCTACAGCTGTAGTTTCTTTTGAATAAAAGCTTCTGCTGACCTGACCCAAAAGTATGCTGCGTGTGTTTCCACGACAATTCCTGGTGCCGTGACTCGGATCCAGAACACAGGCTGAGAAAGGAGGACCGCAGACTGCCCCCCCCGAACCCCGAGGCGCCAAACTTGAGAGGTAAGAGACCTAATTCAAAATCTCTATTGGGGTTTCGGAGGAGGACTGCCTGTAGGCTCCCAACTTGGCCGTGGTAACTGGATCTGAACCTTGTTAAAACAGGTCAGTCTGAACCTTACTGCCGGCTAAAATTTTCTGTCTGGTAAAGGATCCCATTTTGTGTCTGGTAACGTACGTTTTATTTAGGGAGAAACTGTATGAAGCACCTTCATCCTACAGCACATCGGGCTTGTCGTTAATTAACTAAGGCGGTGTGGGGGAGGAGGTCTGGCTGACTGAATGAATGTGCATGTGTGTGTATTTAGAAATATGAGCCACTGACCAGGTCTGAGACTACGGTTGGGTTCAGCCGCCCCAATTCTGCCTGACAGGGCAGTTTTGAAAGCAAGGGGGCCCAACTGGAACCTCGTGACCCAGTGGACAGGGCTTCCCAGTGATTGAATAAATGTGTGTGTGTGCATTTAGAAAAATGAGCCACTGACCAGGTCTGGGACTAAGGCTGGGTCTAGCCGCCCCGATTCTGCCTAAAAAAGGTAGCGTCGAAAGCAAGGGGGCCCAGCTGAAACCTCGTGACCCAGTGGACAGGGCGTCTGAGTGATTTTGTCTTTTCCAAACCCCTTGTCCCAGTAGCTTCTGCCGAGAGCAGGAGTGAAAGGATTCCTCTTGTGTTTCCCTTCCCATTTCCATTTTATGAGCCGGTGTCGGGTCAGAAGCCTTTTGTCTGGGCAGTGAAAAACTGCGGGGCAAGGCACTGAGCGGCCCGGACATCCTAAATAAGCCTCTCCTACGTCTCCCTGTGTGACTGAAAATGGGAACGAGTCAGTCTAAACAAGTTCCCGTCCCCCCTAAGGGGACTCCGGCGTACTTTATGTACACACACTATTCTCCCGAGGCTTGCAAGTACCTGGATAAGTGGAACTGGTATACTAGGGATGATCCTGTGAAGCATTTTCCACAAGAAGGAACATTTGATCAGGATAAAATAGTGCACTTAAGAGGGGCTTTAGAGTCCCGTGGATCCAAAACACCACAAAACCAGTGGGACGCGTTCTTTTATTGGTATGATGAAATGTCCAAAAGGCGGACAGAATCTCAAACTAGGAGCCTAAAAGACTCTCAAGAAAAATTAAAACAGCAGTTACAAGCTGTTCGGGAGAAATTGGCTGCTCCCCCAAATTACACGCCGGCCACCGCTCCGATGTATCCAGCATTGCCCGGGGCGCCCCCACCACCGGAGCCAGCAGAGGATATCCTTGACCTTTGTTCGAACCCTGCTCTCCTGGGACTCCCACATCAGCAACAACCGGTTCAACATCAGGCTGCAGCCCAGGCTAGTAACTCATTAGCTGAAGCTCCTTCAGTAAATCCATCCACGGAGCTTAATAGTCTGGACTCATCCACCATATCTGCCACTCAATCATCACCAGTGTGGCAATTTACTCCTGGGTCACAACCCACCACAGGTGTATTTAGAAGAATGGGAATAGGCATGGAAAGATCTCCCATCAATCTTAGATCCCGAGCTGCACAAGTTTACCCCCTAAGACAAATGCCAGGC